CACTAGCAAGTCATTCTCCCAGCTGATAAGTAATAAAAACGAATAAAATGTAAAATACAGTATATGTGATGACCTATCTGCTTTTTAGTTTCAGTGAGTAAACTGGATTTTTACACCATATTATATCATATTAATAAAATTCTAAGTTAGTGGGAACTTTGTAATACAAAACACAATGCCCCAATTAAAATAAAATTGAGGAGTCTGAAAAAGCTAAAAATGGCTAAGGAAGAAAATCAGATGCCTCAGCAGAAGTTTATAGAAGCAATTGGACAGAGACCTCCAGTTAAGTTTCCGCAGAAGGGAAAAAAAAAAAACCACAAGAGACAAGAGAAAGGACCAGACACTGACATCTGACTGTAATGCATAATATAAGCATAACACATGATTATTGCTGATTAAAATCTCTCAAAACAGAAAAAGCTCTGGCTTTCTTGGTAAAAGCTTGGATTTGATTAATAGTTTTAATAAAAAAGTAATAACAGGATATCAATATTATCCAAAGTTCTGGAGTCACTGTCTTACAGTAAAGTGAAGAAAAACATGGATACATGTTGTGCAAACAATAAATTCTTCTCTACCCCAATCTCTCTGATCTTAAAACCTTTCACAGTAGGAGACAGTTCTCAGTAGGACACGGGAACCAGACAGAACTACAAAATATTTAAGTGTTATTTACACAGAACCACAAGGAAGATGAACACAGAGACAATTTTCCGTTCCAGTCCGTTACAAACAAGAAAAAACAAATGCAGACAGTACCGTGAATTACATTCAAGATGTCACCTGCCATTTCACTTCAAGTTTGGGAAGCTTCAGCAAAGGCTGCCACAACAGCCTTTCACTGACTTTTCTAAGGCTCAGTGCTGTCACTGAATTTGTGCTGCTCCTGGGGGCATGCAATCCCATCAGCTTCCTGAAAATACAGTCTATTTTTAAACATAAAGCAAAGTCAACAAGGACAACTACAACACTAATTTTTTAATGTTCAGAGCAGAATAGGCCTAAATTTAGACCATCCAAACTAAGAGCATAATAACCCTCAGCAAGCATCACAAGTAATTTTCAGGATTTTCCCTTGAAACACCACAACCTGTCTCATCAGTAACTTTCTAGACAGACTTTTTGAACTGCATATAGGAAAGACAAGAATTAGATGGTCATCCATCCCCCACGTGTCACACAAAGTACCAGTATAAAAAATGCACACCAGCAAGGCCTCTGAAAACAATCAGCTCATGAAGATGGGCTTTTTCGCCTGTTATGCACCAAGTGTGAAGATGCACTGAGACTCTTTGAGACAACACTCTCCAAACAGAAACAGTCCCAACAGCGATAACTTGGTTGGCAACTGCAGCACAGCGTGCTGGGGGAGCAGGTGGCCCAGAGCCCAGAGCCGCCGCTTCGCTTCCCCTGCCAGCACCGCGGGAAACTGCCAATTTAGGAGTTACCTGCTCCCCAACCCTTCTGCTTCCCCCATCTCCCCAATAGCTGCAGGAGAAGCTACGGTGTGACTCATGTCTTCATCCTGTAAAAACCTGGCTCTCTGCACCTGCTCAATAAAAGCTATTTTAGAGGATGCAAATGGAAGGGGCAGCACTGTGGTATTGAACAGCTCCTTGTCCTCCAATAATGCCTCCCGATGGGACATCAGAGCATCTCAGAGATCTAATGCACTTGTCCCTTACGCTTAAGAACGCAAAAGGGTATCAGGAATATTTAAACTAATCCCTCTTAGGTCTCTGCGCAGCAAGTCAGAGCACAAGATTTTAAACAGACATATCCACATATCCACAGCGACTCCTTCCAAACCTTTCAGAGCTCAGACTTCAACTCCATTTAACTTTTGAATTCATAAATGTTAATGCTTGTTTTTAACTTCAACAGGAACTTTCAGGGCACTGTTCTGACAAGACAGAAAAAAACAACCAAGTGACAACTGACACTCTTAAAGATATGAAAAGTGAACTACAGAATGGAAGAAATTCCTCTTGCTCGGCCCTGAATCCTTATTTCAAGAAACCAGTACAATCAGCTGGAGAGAGCTCAGAGAAAAGACACTCATGCAGGAAGAGTCAAGCTCTGGAAAACAAGGTCCACGAGGGAGGATTTCGAGAGTTACCAGAACACAAAAGGTCGAATGCAGTATTTAAGTTACACTTAAGGGGTTTTGTCTTTTTTTTGAAGCAGCAGCAGCGTATCAGTCAAAAATAAGATTTCCCTTCCTGGACCCAGCCTGTGAAACCCACACAGCATCGCTGTACCCCCTGTTCACCACCCGCACCGCTGCATTTTCAAACGCGCTCCCCCTGAAAGTTACTCCGCGCTTAAACTTCAGCAGAGACTCGGCAGCAGCAGCGGCAGCAGCAGTGGCAGCAGCGGCAGCAGCACCCGGACCGGTGCGCGGAGCCGGCCCCAGCCAGGACGGGCAGCGCCGGGGCCGAGCGCGGCTGGCGGGGCGGCCGCTCCGGCCCGGGCGGGGCGAGGGACACGCGGGTGGGGACCCCCCAGCCCCGGGCACTCACGGTCTCTGCAGCGGCTCCTCGGGCAGGGCAGCCGGGCCCTGCTGCTGCTGGAAGGAGCGCAGCGACTCGAACGCCTTCGTCAGCTTCTCCATGGTGGCCATGTCCGCTCCGCCCGCGCCGCCGGCACCGGCCCGCGCTCCGACCCGCCCTCTCGCGGGCGCCCGGGCAGGCCCGAGCGCTGTCTCGCCGCCGCTGCCGCCGCCCCTGCCCCGCTGGTGCGGTGCGGGCGCTGCGCGGGCCCGGGCCCGTCACAGCCGCGATGAATGGGGCGGGCGCCGCCCGGGCCGCGGCCGCCTCCCGTCCGCCCCGCCGCCATCTTGGGCCCGTCCCGGCGGCCCCCGCGCCGCCGCCGCCCCGCCCACACCGGCCCGCCCCGCCCCGCACACCCCGCCCCGGCGTCACGCGCGGGCACGCGACAAAGGGGAGGGGAAACGGGCAGAGTGACAGCAGCGCTGTCCAATCAGAGAGCGGGCCCCGCCCCGCCAGGTGCTGCTCCGTGGCGCCCCCTGGCGGCAGGAGGCGGCCGTGAGGGGCCGGACCCGCGCCCTCCTCAGGGGTTACCTCTCGCATCGTGATTCACACACTGAACACACAGGATAAAGAGCATTTAAAGCATTGCTTAGATTACTGAACACTTAAAAAAACCCCAAAAAGTATTGTAAACTTTCCAGTTATAACCCCTGATTTTAACACATCCGCTCGCTGAATACACATTGTAAATGACAGCTGAGGAGTGCTGGTAATTCAACTTATATCTCAAATACATGAAACTGGGTGTCAGCAATGGAAATGGAGAACAGCTCTTGGAACTATTAAGAAAATAGAATTCCAGTAATTCAACTTGGTTATTGTTAGCAGATAAGAACAAAAGAAGCAAAGCTCATGTCTCTGAATATTCAGGCCAACAGAAGTCGTCACAGATGACATTCCTGCCAAATACTCAGTAACTCAGTGCTCTGCCAGTTAACTTTATTAGCATGTTAATAAAAGACAAACCATATATAACATTCCTCTGCAGTAAACCTATCCACAGTACTGAAAGCAATTCAATTTAGAGCAAACCCCTATTTCATTAAAAATGTGCAACAAAATGTGAGCTTCTTAGGGAAAAAAAATATTTTTCCCTGATAACACTCATAGAAAGGTTTCTATGGAACATGTGGATGATCATGAATCTTTTATTTAGCAAATGATACATGATGGAAGGTGACAGCAGAGCTGGAATGCTGCACACACTGTGTTAATTGCATGTGTCACTCCACACTTTCAAATAAACTTAAGCGCATACATTAAGAAGAGCATAAGCTCTTATAAAAGATTAAACAAGCCACCAACCAAGCCAGTCCTTGCAAGCCTGCTCTGAAGCTTCAGATCAAAAGTGTGCCAGTCCCCTATGGGCTGCTGACTCACCGGCAGAGCAGCAGGCACTGCCTGCCCACACGCACATCCCTCTTTGCTCTCCTTGTCCTTCCCAACTGGATCGCCAGTGGGAGCCCTCTGGCTCATTAACCGGGAGCTGAGACAACTGGAAGACAACTCAGGGGTATGAGGTTTTTCTTTAGTGAGTACCTCTGTCAGTAGGTACTCCCCATCCAAATTTACTGACCCTTGGTTTTGCACATGTCACATCACTGATCCTGCCCCACAAACTGCACCGGCAAAAATAAAGTCATGTAAAACAGGCAAGGGGCAAGAAAAAGCAGGCAGGGTTAGAAACGGGCATTTTTGTAAAGTCAGCATTACCTCAGATTAAAACAAAGTCACAATTTCAATGCATTAACAGTGCACACACAAAAGGTTATGTGAAATTTAGTGGATGGCAATGAATTAATCTCAGCCTCCAGGAGAAAGAAAAAGAAACATGCTCTTACCTTGTCTATAAGGTTACCTCTGGATCTAATGTTTATTTTAAGAACAGGCTGGATAAGCATGTCAGGAATATTTTTCACTGTCCTGAAGTCACGCTTTGGCCAGTATTTCTGCATTTCTGTGAACAATTCACCAGGTAATTGGTACTACTCAAATAATCCAACAAACTTCACGAGACTGCTGGCCCACGTGGTTCGACATATGCACAGATAATCTGCAACATGTCACAGCACAGTTGTATTGTTGTTAAAGTCATTAATTTGAAGCTGTTCTGTAGAGCATTTCAGTGCTTAGTCCTTCAATTCATGTCATAAAATTACAGTAAATGTGTTGATGAGAAATAGCCCGTCCCAGTAATTTTCTCTGCATACAGAAATTTCTGCAGAAATCCAGATTCAGACCGTGAGATAAAGTATCAGCTGAGCCAATACAACAGAGCTAGGGCACTTTTTCCTGGATCCGACTATTTTACATTGGTAAACAACTTACAGTATGCGATATATATTTTTTGCTTCAAGAAACTTTTTCAAATCACAATTTTTCTTTTTATTCTATCCCAGATACCATGAGAGTCATGGTAAATAAATCACATTAGACAGTAATGGATGTGGTTGAGATATGCGGCAGTGTTTTGCTTTTATTTCAGGAATTACAATGCCAGAACATCCAGGAAAACAGCTCACACAAGAACAGTCAGTGGTTTGGAGATGCTGGAACGAACACATCACATTTAACAGTCAGCTTCCTATGCCTTGAAAGAATTCTGGTGTTTTGGACACATCTGGAACATGACAAAAAAGTTACCCACATCTCATGTGCAAAACTCAAGTTACATCACAAGAACAATTATGAAATAAAAAAGAATTGTACATTCAGCAGAAGAGACATCGTAAGCACCAAAATAAGCCAGGCAGGTAATTCAAATCAAAGTAAACATGAATTGCACTTAAAGATGCTTTCCAATAGTTCATATTTTTGAGGACTTCCTAAAGAGAAGAATTTTCTGAAAATCTATACTAAAATGAAGGTGGTAATTTCAATATTAAATTAATGTAATGCTAAATTGTAAACCATAGAAAAATATTCCTTCTGTTGACTTATTTTAGTAACTTGTAAACAAGTATTATCTGAAAAAAATGGCAGTGAAAAATTTCTTGCATCAGTGTTGTTTGAAAAATAATTGGAGTGCTTTCTAAAAATTGATTGTTATGGTATTTAATAGCTTCTATCACTGATTTATAAATTAGACAGTTTCATTCTGAGATGGAGATAATTCTCTTTCATAATCCTTCAGGACTACTGTTTTAAAAACTATGTGGGAAAACAAAAGAGGACAACATCTATTAAAGGCTAAGATTTGTCAATAATGCTCTTGTTTTCACAGAAATACCACAGGTTTTTTCCTATTTAATATTATTTTTAAATTCTTATTTTTTCAGCTGAGACTCTTTTGTTGTTGTTATAATCCAGCAACATAACACCATCTCTATAATGAACACTACACCTCAGGGGGGCCAAGGGGAGGAAGCTGACAATTTTTTTAATAGGAAAAAACCCAACCCTGAGGCATGAAGATTCTATTCTGTTGGTCACAACACTCAAAAGCATTAAGTAAACCCATAAGATACCGGTACATTGTTTCACAGTTTCTGAATGTTGAGTTAAACAGAGATTCATGAGGTACACACAAGCAGACATTGAGACTTATGTACACAAATGCTTGGAAAACAAGCCACAGGAGGGTTGATCTCATGCAAATAACTCCATGGAATTCCACAGATCTTTCCAAAGCTTGCACCAGTTGGGCTCTTGGATTGTCTTGCTGCTATGAAAGCCTTCTAACACACAGATCTAGAATCTGAATGAAGTCATACCAAATGACAAGAATTTCCTCGGCTTCCGCCCTCTCCCCCAGCAGTTTATTGGGAATAAAAGGCTACATAATCAGTCAACACAACCTCCTGCCTTCCCCTTTCTTTGTCTCAGCTGTGTCCTAAAAAAATCAATAAATAAGTTTATGTTAAATTTATCACACCACAATATTTTGCTTCCAGGTGTTCTCCCTTCTCCTTACCCTTTCCCCACTTTCAAAAGGCATCTCCAATTTCCCAATACTCCAATAAAGACATTTAACCCACATTGGTCACCTTAAACACCAAAACATCTTCATCTCCATGTACCGTGTGAGGAGGGTTATGCTGATCCTTCCCTTTCCTTGTCTTTTCTAATTTTTTAGAGGATCCACATTAAATAATATCCAGCCATTATTATGTGGTTGTATTTTTAGCTAAAAGGGACAAATTGATAGTAGAAAAATGCCATCTTGAGCCCACAGGGGAAAAACCAACCAACCAACCAACCAAGAAAACCCAAAGCTCAAAAGGCATGGGATTTAGGTCTGAATCCTGCAAATGTACTCCACTCAAAACCAGTTCAAAAGTATTATTGAGATCTTAGGAAAAAACTTGTGAAATGGAACTAAAAATAAACTTCATAAAAACAAAAAAATCCTCCACTTTTTCACAAGGAGTTCCTTGTCCAAAGAAGCAGACATGTAAATATAACCACATTTTTAGGAACAATTTTCCTTCTCTCTTCATCTAGACTTTTTTCCTCACAGAACCCTGAAGAATAACTGTTGTCTCAACACTCCAAAATAGAGAAGTTGATTTCATTTTTTTTTAAATTAACATTCCTGTCCATCCAATGAGGAAAGAAAATTTGAAATACATTATAAAAAAACTTTCAAATATTTTTTTTAATCTATTAAAGCCCATTCCTGTTTTGGTTTTTTTTTTTAATAAAATTTACTCAGCTTGTGTCCATGATATACTTGCCCAAATTTCAAGTTGCTCTATGCAGACATTAAATCCAGACTGTCACCCCATAACGTGCAGTCTTAATACAGCTCCCTTTGCCTCAGAAGAGCAAACCTAAGACCTTAAAAAACTAATCCCCTTAATCGGGGAAATGATGACTTCTGCAACCAGGTCAGTAGTTATAAACCACTTTTGTTACTTCCCCATTTTTCCATTCCCATCTTTTTAGAGTCCTTCTCTTACTGTGGTTCAAACTAAAGAGGGTCAGGTCAGCCCGTGCCAGCTCATTGTCTCACACATAATGGTTCCAGCCAACACCCTCCCTTCAGACATTTCTCTTTCTGTCAAGCCTCCCATCCCTTCACTATTACATCAGACCATCTTCCAGTAATTCATTCAAACTCTCTCTCCCTCTGCCAATTTCTCTCTCTTTGTACTTTCCACAACACTCATTTTGGTGTCCTGTGTGCTGCTTTAGACTGCAGGAAAAATGCACTAACAACCCAGGAGAAGAGTCTCTCGTTCCTTATTTCTGTGGCACAGTAGCCAAGAGGAACAATTTCAGATAGACACCAGCTGAGCCCCACTAGGGTTCTGTAACACATTGCTTTTTCAACTTCTTTCAAACTCTAATTCATCAAAACATTTGTCTTTAGAGACCAAACACTGTGAATTAAAACCTGATGATAGGCTTGGCTATCAAATGTACGTTGGGAGTTTCTCAGAAGCATCTTAAATTTCTTCCAGTGGGTCTGTGGATCACGAGCAGAGACTTATTTGAGGTGGGGGCTACTCCGTTGCTCTGTGTGTACAACACATGTGTGGTCTGGTTGGTGCCCCAGAGGTTTGAAAGTTAAAAAAAAAACCAAACAACAAAAAGCATGTTCAGTGGAGACAAATCTTCAAATCTTCAGAATACAGAACAAAATATGTAGCTAAAGTCATGTCTCCAACTCCAAGAGCATTCCATTATATTTTAAGTCCCTAACTCAAATTTTGAAAACAGAAAAAGCTCTTAATGAAATGTGCTCTGTAAATTGACTCTCAAACAGAGATGAATAGTTTTAGTGGAAATTTTAGAAAATAAAAAGTCTGGCATATGTGAGTCCAGAAAATGGAAGTTTGACTAGCTTTCAGGCAGCTTTTATCAGTTTTACTAATGAACCTCCAGTAATCATAACAAACTTCAATACCAGCTCCACATTTGTTTTAAGTAATCATTAAAGGCAGGTTTTAATGTTTCTGTTTTAAAAGGTTATAAGAAAAAAAATACTTACATAATTAAATTTGCTACTTTGAATTGCCTTGCCCTTTTCTCAGTGGCAGTGATTGCTGTCAACCCCACAACACTGCATATTCCAACATAATAAGCAGAGAGGAGGTTAGTAAAAAGACCCCATGCTTTGGTTTTTAACCCATTATAAAACTATAACATCTGTCTACACGGAGTCAAAAACTATTTCATTTACAGAAAAAAATAAAAAAGGTGTCCCCACAGGTAAAAAGAAATCCTTTCAGTAAAGACAACAAACTTTTCAAAATACAGTTATAAAATTTTGGCATAGGTCTATTTGCATGGTTCATGCCAAGAAACTGTATGGAGAGGATGTGTAAGACAGGTAGAAAAAAGAAGAACAGGGTACTACAGTTTGTTACAGATGTAAGGTAAATGTTCAGAATTCTCTTTATACAGAAATACAGAAGGATACTCTACAGAGTCAGATAGTAAAGAGCAATTCCTAACAGCTGGCCACAGTGCACTGAATTCCTTTTTTTTCTTAGCAGTTGCTTGAGAGATACATTAGATAATAGCACTGCCATGCTGCTGGATAACACCAGAATTATTGAATTCACCAGTACAGCCATTTTACAGTTAAGAAAACTGCTAATAAAGATCCTAATTAAGAAGAAGAATTTTACCAGGAGCATACAAAGTCAAGTTACATTGATGCCATAGATATTATCTCTGTGCTTTAAAATCCTTTTAGTATTCCTAGATTCATTCCACTGAGAAAAAATTAATCAAGATAAATCAAATACATACAGAAACACACTCACTCAAATGGCACTCATTGCTTTTTGTACAATTAAGCTTTAGTGAAAATATACATCTTAAAACAAATGAAGTACAAATGTACAAAAATCCTTGAACTCAGATAAAAAATATATATAATACAATTTGCTACAGAGATATAAAACATTTAACGTTTGCTCATCCTTTCTGATGAGAGTAAAATGATTTAAAGTCTGGAGGACTCCTGGTCATCATCACTGCAATCAGATTTAAAACAGACCTGCAAGAGAAGACAAACAGACAACTCAGCTGCAGAACCGACACAATTGTTTATTTGGGTGTTTTATGGGCAACAGAAAGGCTGGAAGGGTGGCTCTTTCTCCAGCACATTTTATTCCATACTAACTAAATGCTTTGGGAAAATCAAACCCCAAATCTCAAGTCATTAAAGTTTCATTTAACCTTAAGTTCTTTCCTCCTTTTAACTTCACAAGACAATTAACTGCAGTCTTATTACTTCAAACTGAAAACTCTCAAACCATATTCATTTTTTTAGGACTCTTTCTCAATACATAGAGCCATATCTTGGGACAGTATGAATCCTGCTGATTTGGCTGGAAAAGACTAAAGTAAGACACCAGCTTTATCTTTAACTGAGGTTATTAGTACACTCAACCATCCCTCCTATTCCACTACTGTAAGTGGGAGAAAAGTGAATTTGAAAAGGTAAACTAAAAATGATGGTACTATTATACATTCCATTAGCACTGTATCATTTTACAAAGGTGAACTGCCAGCTGAAGACAAAAAATTTCTTCATACAATTTTAATACACGGCCCTGCTGTGGCTACTTAATGATATGCTCTGAGCTATTTTAAAATTCCATTTCTGCTTGAAAGCAAAAGTCATTTCTACCAAAGTGTTTGCTGCTGGAATATATTCATACTTCTCAAGGTAATTCCGCTCTAAGTGCAGGCACACTGAGCTAGCAGAATTGGGTATAACATTTTCAACCGCAAACCTTTTCAAATAGCCTATTTCTTACATCCTATAAGCCAACACAATGTATTGTGTCTTTTAGGTGGTAAATACTCAATTCTCTGAAGGTTTACTAAAGACCAGAAGTCATGTGTGTAAGAAAAGGCTGTGCATTATCAGCTATGTGAGGATACATTGTTGTTTTGCTAAAGGCATTAAACTACCTAAGATATTTTAACATTTGTTTCATGATGCTTCTGCCTGTTCATTCATTTTGGGGATATATCTACTTCTTTACTTTTTTATTGGATATATATTTATTTTTGCTTATTTACTTCTACTTACTTGGTTTTACAGAGGGCCTTAATTACCTCTGAAGACATCTCCCCAGAAGTTTTAATTAAAAACTGGCAAAATACATAAGGAGCAAGACCCAATTTAACCTCTTTAGTAAAGAAAGATCTGTAGCACAGCTTTTAACAGCACCCACTACCTCTTTCCCAGAACACTAGAGGAAGAGAGAATGCTGATGGAGGAAAACCTCCTGGAGTTACAGGGATTGCCACAGTTTCTGAAACGCAGTGGAGGGGAAAAGCCATAACAAACCAGATTCCACTGGTTTCAGTATTCAGCAACAACTTGGTTTTCCTTTCACAAAATAATATAAACAACCTGAACGGAAGTTAAGGTCTTACTATTAATTTCTTATGAAAGAAAAGAAATACCCTTACCTCTCCACTGAAGAGTCTGTGAAAGAAGCCTCTCTTTGGTTTGGGAGACCTCTCTCTGTCTGGTGACACAGTACCATCAGTTTCATACGCGTTGATGTCTTCAAAGCATCCCGTTTCAATCATCTTCGAAACACATGAAATACAAGTGAAATGTCCACAAACAAGTTCCATTTTATTATCTATTCCATATTATCTATTTACTCTGGCTTGGTACTCCTCACACTTCTAAATTCATCACACAAACTACAGCCCTGGCAGAGCTCCACAAAGGAGGCACAAAGCTGACACGGACTCTCCTTGTGCACTCAGCACACTAAAGGCAGCAGTGAGAGACTATCACCCAGGGAAATACTCAGGTCTTCTCTTGTTTTGGTTGCATTCTTGCCTTTCTTCTGCAATAAGCAGAAGTTTTTAGAACCAGAAATTGGTTTTCCTTTCGTGTAATCTGCTCATTTCAGAGTAGTCTAGGCTAACAAATGTCATATCTCTATACCCTGGAGTGAACTGAATTAATAAACATGACATGGGGAAAAAATAATGAAGATGGGACTCTGGAGAGAAGAAAGGGATTTTGAAAGAATCTTTTTTTGTGTACACAGAAAAGAAATAAACCCACAATGCCTGGGTGCAGAAAGCAGAGTAGAATGTGAATGCCAAATTGTAACCAACAGGTAGGGTCAGAAGGGTAGGAGTGGTTGATGTCCACATCTAGTTGGCATTTGTCTGTGAATGCCACTGGTACACATCTGTCACAACAGCACAGAGCCAGATGAATACACCTTGTAGAGGGAGAGAGGGCATAAAGAGGAATAAGAGGAAATGCACTCTGCTTTTATTACAAACCATGACATCAGTACAGCCATGGGAGGGCAAGTGGAATTCTTAAAAGGCCCAGGGCAAAGATTTGAGGGAAGGTTCAGTAACATGAATTAAAATAAAAAAACAAGCACTAATGTACAATGAAGTCTGCACAGTTATTCCTTGAAGAGAAGGAACTGCCATCACCAGAATTCCACAACTATTTCCAACTTTACCCCTCTATGCTGGGTTATGAAGCTGCAGTGCATTTTTCATGACTGGATCATGTTCTGAATTTCAGAACTGCAACACAGCATAGGAAATATCTACATCTCCAAGGTTCATTTCTTCTTAATGAAGACTTTCTATGTCAAATGACACCTTTTCAAATCTTTTTAATGTAATGCAGAAAAGCAAAAGGAAAACAAATGGGAATCTACATTTCTCTCCAAATTTTTTGAGAAATTGCTCATCCTTTGTGTTCAAACTTTAAATAAAATCACATCATACTGGGAAAGAAACTACACCTCTAGCATTCAAGACAATACCAATTTCAACTAACACCTTATAATAGGGGGAAGGCATTGGTAACAACAACTGTGATTTTAAAGATTTGTTACTGAGTGCTCTTGCTGATATGGTAAAGAGGATTTGAACTGCATAAAGAGACAGTAAAATTCTAACATTCTCTGCAGAATACTAGAATAGTCATTCCCTAGGTACGTGAAAAAGCTCTAAGAGAAAATTCTGACTCAACTGTTATTGAACTGTTTGTTTTGAAACCTCAGAAAAGGCGAGTCTGCAATTCTGCATCACTGTGTCACTTGGATCCTCTGCTGATGCACAGGCACTACATGCAAACAACCTGCACTGTGCCTGTTTGCTTCTGAACACTGGGAATAGCTCCATCCCCCTCCTGTGAACAGCAATGCTGAACAACATGGGATAGAAGAACAAGGAAAAGGTGGTGCTGCTGATGTTAAACGCTGTATCTATGACGACATGATGTCGGATTCTATTGATACAAATTTACCACAGATCTCAGCTTTTAGCAAGTTGCTTATGTTTTGAGGAAAAACTTCTCTTCTGAATTCTTTAAGCAAGGAAGTCTAAAGCAGAAACTTCTTTACATCTTAGAGAGAAAATCAATACTAAGGAAAACAATCTTTTAAGAAATACACATTACCTCATTTTGCCAAGGGATGGAGACACAACCCGTAACAAACTTGGAATAGAAGTCATCATCTGTAGTATCCAGGTTCACTCCTTTTACTGTTGAGAACTGCTCTATGTCCAGGACATCTTTACAATACACAGCACGTGGCTGCAGTATAAGACAAGATTGATTCATTAAAGTTTTGGGTTTGGGTATGTTTTGGTTGGTTTTTGTTTCTCTATATGAGCAGAAAGGGAGTGAAATATCTGTAATTTTATATTTTCACATTCCTGATCACCAAATTACACTATGCTACAAAACAGAAATATGAAAACTTAAAAGAATCTCATCACAAGGCACCTGAGCAATTCCATCCATCCTGCAAGTAATGGAAAGGAAGTATCAAAACCTTCCCTAGATTTCTTAATGGTTGTCATAGTTCACTCATCTTCTGTCACCCTCCTTTCAACTACAAAATATTGTTTTCAAACATATTTCTCATTTGTTCTATATCTGAGCTATGGAAGTGGACTTTTAAGGGCTAAGAAATCAGCTACAAAGCTCCCTAGAGAAATACCACTATTACCACTGAGTTCTGTGATCTCAGATGAAATGATACCAAACAATTAGCTCTCAACAGCCACAATGGCATTCTCTGCCAATTTAATGAACTTTAAAGGCTTCTCTGGGATCATATGATTGCTGATATAGAATTATGACAGTTCTTGCCTTTTTAGATACTAATCAAATCTGTCTCACCTACTTACATCTGGCAAGAATGGAGGTTCTAACATGTTTGCTTCCAGCCTCTTGAAGTTAATGTTCCTGAAAATAGGATGTTGCTTTACAACAGCAGCTCCATCTTCAGTGCAACCCAGTCGTTCCCCGGGATTTTTAGCAAGTAACTGCAAAGATATGGGGGGAAAAAGCTGATACATGATATAATCCCACAATTAAAAGAAATAATTCTACATACAATGCCTTTCAGTAAGTTTATTTTGCTACTCGGCCTTTTATTAGATAAAATTTATCATGTATCAAAACAAACTGGAAATCCAAATGACAACATTCTGGGAACAAATATATTTTCTATATTTTCAGTAGACAAAAGAATCCCTGAAAGCAGACCATTTTAAGATTATACCCAAAGTTACATGAGAATGTTTCAATTGATGCCATGCTGAACAGATTTTACAGTACAGATGTTGCAGTAGACTTTTCATTCAGGAAATACAGACTAACTGTTTTTCCAATGGGCTTAAATAATGCACGTATTTATTTTGCATAAACCAGTAGAGAAAATTTTGAAGCTTTCTGTATAAATTTAAGACCAAGTAAGAGGAAAAAAAAAAGCTGCTGTTTTGTAGATACTCTTTTAGGGGAGCAAACCAATGTACTACTCTGCCACTTCTTCCCATGCAGTATCCAAGTCGAGCTGTTTTACTCTGTCTATAATTACATGTGGTCCAAATAGTACTGGACTGTGTCATTCATGTGATGAAAAATTAATTTATGCAGCTTTCCTTTCTGAATGAAGACATTAAAATACTGTAGTTGATCTCTTTAAAAGGATTAGAAATTTAATTTTCAAACCTCTACGTCTCTTCACCCACCATCCTGCAGATGGATTTTGCCTCCTCTGAGAACTTGTCTGAATACGTTTCCTGGTCTTCCTTTACTCTCCGGTCGATCTCATCGCGTTTGACCCTTTCCTTATGCTTCCTGAAGGGAGACTGTCCTTCAATCATTTCATAAATCAAGCAGCCAAGACCCCACCAATCTGGACTGAATGTATACTTTTCATTTTTGAGCACTTCTGGAGCTACAAAACAAAAACAAACACACACCTCTGTGACATTTCACTTTAAATTGACCAATAAAATATTGGAAAAACTCTCAGTTACCCTTCTGGCTCTGTACAGAGATGTTTGTGCAGCTTCTCTGCACTATGAAGAAAGGTTAATTTCTACAGTAAGGACTCTGTTTTTATCCAAGAGAAGAACTAAAGTTCTTTAATGCTGAAGTCCAGTATTGCTTACCAACTAAGAATGAAGTTTTTCCAAAGCATGGAAAGAAATGTATTGTCACAGTAATCCACCTGCTCACCTGTGATGCTGAATCCCAGAAGAAAACCAGGTGCTTTCTTCAAGTTCTACCTAAAGCTAGAATTTTCAGTTACGTTTTCAAGTTTATCAGAAGGTTTATAATTGACTACTAACATCTACCACTGCATCTTATAACCTTTCTTCTTCTCATAACGTGTAGTAAGTACTCCAGAGCAAACAAAATTCTTTGGACAAGTCATTCTTACATTTTCTGGTAAAATGTAACAAGCAAAGGATACTTTACATACCCATGTAACCAACAGTCCCAACTCGACCTCGGACGGTTTCTCCTTCTGGAATCTGCACAGCTAATCCAAGATCTGAAATTCTGATATGCCCTATTTATGTTAAAATAAATTTTAATAGTCAGCAAATAATACAGGGTCATCACTGAAAAAACTTCCATACAACACTTCATAAAAAACCCACCCCAAAACATCAGAAACATTCATATACTCGTATCACTAAGGTTATTTAACTTAACTAGAAAGGAGTGGTATTTTTTTATCATCATTACTCAGCTCCTCCTCAAATATGTAAAGAAAGAGAGGCACAGATCTAACTGATTTCCTGAAGGTCATACAGAACAAATTTGCTGTTGAGCACTCAGTTCTGAGCTTTGGCATAGGCTGCTGCTCTAGGACAAGCAGAAATGATGACTGCTCGTTTCAGATTCTGCATCTATGTATCAGACACTTGCATTTTTCCATTCTGTACTCCCACCACAAAAACTTAGCTGACTTCCTAATGAAACTTCAAAATTTACTTAATTTACTCAAAAGGTGAGAAAACTGTAGCCTGCACTGAGACATCCAGTTTTCCTCTCACAAAGTACTCTAATAATAGCAAACATGAGTATTGCAATACTCAAAATAACTCCCACCCCAAAACAAAAGCAGCTGAGTCAATAACCCACTTAGAATTATTTATATGTACATGTCAGTTCAATAGTAGGATTTCCCCTTCTCATGAATCACTCCAAAGTAGGTAACAGCTTCTACCTCACTTTATCAGCCAAACTTCTTGAGTTAATTACCTTCCCTATTACAGACACATTTACACCAGTACCTAATGACGTAGAAACCACGTGGTGGAAGACTGATTTGTCATGGCCAGCACTTGGGGAACCAGTCCAAGAAGGGCAATGGGAATAAATTCACCACCCTCCCTCAAATTCCCATGAACAGACACAGTTCTTTCTTGGACAGGCTCAGTAACTCTTTCAACCACTTTCAAGACATTTCAAGGCAAGAACTGTATTGACATTTTACTGTAAAAATACATAAGGTACTTTCTTAATAAAAATACACAAGTCTAGGCAGAAGAAAGGACATTTATATTTTCAATTTTAAAGGAAATAATTGCCAATCATCTGTAGAGAAAGATCCACTGAGGAAAAAGAAAAAAACCCACACTTATTTATACTACCACTTATAAAGGACAGGGATGGCATTTCTGTCATTTACAGAAACACCCAAATTTACAGAATGATTCAGGCTGGAAGGGACTTTAGAAGGTCTCCAGTACAACCTTCTGAGCAAGCAGCCACCCCAAAGCAGCCAAAGCTTTTTAAATGCTTATTCAGAGTGGACACTGCACCACCTCTCTGGGCAGCCTATTCCAATGGCCAAGTGTCTTTGAGCATACTGCTCTGGAATTCAAAAATCTCTGCAGTAACAGTATTAGTTAACAGCATATTAATTTCTTATTTACACAGGACAGATAATCAAGGGATGGAGAGAGAAAGAGCAGAAAGTGCCACTCTGTATACTGGTTAGAAATAACAATGCTCTGGAGCAGCAAATGTTATTTTAAATACATTCAGATGCTCTTCTGTTCTCTGACATCTGATGAACCCCTTCTCAAGTGCATGATCTGAGCTCCTGAAGCGATTTTCTAATTAGTCTCCTCTGCTCCCTGGAACTGGATCAAAACATCCCTGGCAGGGAGAGAGCATTCTAATACAGACCTGCAAGGCTACATTTTTCCTCAAAGAAGCCATCAGCTTTTGCAAGACACTGCTGGAGAGAAAAATTAAAGAATGCATTTGATGTCTAGCAAAGCTTTAGCTCTTGAAAAGTGATTTCTCCCAAGCATCATCTTCCTTGAAATTTATCAGTCAGAACATGCTGACTTGAAAAAAATATACTGTGTTAACGACTTCAAAACCAGATTTTCCTTAACTAAAATGCTCAGTAGTTACAAGAACAAACTTGTAATATTCACCCACAGCTTAGGAGACAATTGCTGCACATGTTCTACAGTCAATTCAAAAGATTCTGGTAATGACTTGCATACAAAGTCATTAAAGAAGATTACTTTGGCTTCTGAAAAACAAAAGACTACAAACGTTTCTTCACACTGTTTGTACTTCCTTGACTCTTTCCAGCCACATATGCACCAGTGACCATGAGACCTCTTTGAGTTGAAATCTGACAACACAAACACTTCAGATTTATTTTCTTCTTATGGTCTAAACATTCTGGTTTATTAAGTAAAGTTCTGGCCCCACATCTAACAAATTGTGTTTCCATAGTTGCAGAAAAGACAAACAAAACAAATCCATATAAAAGTTTTAGCCATCTTAAATCAAGAGAAGGAGGGAGAAGGAGGAGCAAAAGGGAAAAAGTAGCCATTTATTAACCCTTCAAACATCATCACTGATCCCCAAAGTCCCACTATTTTCCCCCGCCTTCTAAAAAGCAAGGGCAGTTTTTTCTTTGCTAATTAAAGTTAAGATTCCACAATTTTATCATGAGGAAATCCCTCTGATTTCTGGCACAGTATTCATTAGAGATGTAATTCTTTATTTCAAATTAATTTTAATTTTTACGTACCACAGTCATCAAGAAGTATATTCTCGGGCTTCAAGTCTCTGCCAATCAAACAACAGAAATGTGAATTAAACAAAGGCAAAATTATTTATCATCAAGTACCATGGAAGCAATGTAAAATTTCTTTTTTCTTGAGTTGTGAAGTTGATGGCCTGTAATACAAATAGTTTAACCAGAGAACTCCAGATCCGCTTCTCCCCAACTCTCTAATCCGTTTACATTAACAAAAGCAATTTGTACTCCACAGATGAGAAACTTTCTCCACACAACTGCGAATCCTGATAAGAAGGAACCACCAACTTACACCCAAATTTGTGCTCATAGGTGAAGGATATTTCTCCCCAGAATATCAGCAACACAACTCCCAAATTATAAAACACAAGTGTTTGCTGCTGACCACTTGTTATATTCCACCCCAGGGTGTCAGAATATCTCTTAGATTTATTCTGCCATAAATATCAGAAAGCCAGAAAGAGACAACTAAAACCAACACTTGGCAAAAAAGTCAGTTATTATTGGAAGAGATTATTAAAAACAATATGTACATATATGGGTATACATGACTGTGACAAGAACAGATAATTTATACAAGCAGAAGTGACTGAATAATGTAAAAGAAGGAATTTTTAGGAAGAATGACTCTAGAATTGGCATTTAAATGCGAGTAAAATGTACACAACACAACTTGTTCACCAAGAAATCTATATACTTTTTCCCTATTGTTCTGAAGTACGTGTATTCATGTCAAAGTTTCATTATCTTATGAGATTAACTGTACAGAGAATTCAAAAAGATACTTTGTTTCTAATGCTTTAAAGTCTAGACAAACCTCATAACGTTAATAATTTGATTTTAGATATGATTTTAAAATAACAGGGAAATCAGCACAAATCAGAGTTTAAAAATCACAAAAAAATAAAAACTCTAAATCGGTATCAAAAAAGCAGAAGAAAATTCAGCTCAAACTTTAGGCAGAAACTCATCTACTTTAAAGCACAAAATACATGCTCAATTTAACTCAAGTAAACAAGTTTAAAGATTTCCATCTCCAAAACAGCTGATTAAAGTCCAACCTGAAACTCAATAGCAACATCTTCTGCTTAATAGAAGCTTATTCTGCTTTGACATGATTTTGGTTAATCCATAGTAAAACTCATTTCCAGCCAAAATTCCATCTCTTTTCATTTCCACTTTATGGGGTATTTTGCCAGTGATGGCAACAAATCCCAAATATAATACATTTATAATACATTTTAACATGACTGACCTACATTAAAACTGCCATTTTAGAACAGAACTGATTTTACTACTACCTGCCTGCACTGAGGATTTCTGTTACTAAGTTCTGAATTTCCCTTCTTCCACTGCCTCTACAGGGCACTCTACTGGGAATACAGATGGACAGACACAAAAACCCATTCTCAAGAAAATATTTTACAACAGTATTATTTTATAACAGAACTAAAGTCTACCTTAACAGGTTAAGCTATTTGTCTAAAAAGAGTTTAAAAAATTTTAAAGCTACAAAACAAACACAGTAAGAGATCTTGAGATATGGCAACAAGAAAAAGAACTATTTCTAATTTCAGAGGAACAGCAAAATAAGAAAAACTTTCCTTTTTTTTTTCTTGTCCCAGAGAATGTAAAATACTAGTTACCATAATTTTGAAAAATAAATCATAGAATCAATGAATATGTGCTTCATTATGTTCTCCCTTCCCACAACATTAAGACGGAGGTTGCCACTATAACTTCCGTAGTGAGAATAAGATAATTATGGCAAATTTTCCTGAGCTTTTTGTTTTACTAATCATATCTAATCACTGTATTGCTGCTTAAATGTATTTCCATTAAGATGCCTGATAGAGAATTTTGATTGTGTAACCCTGTAATTGGTGACATTCTGAAGACTCCCAGGTTTTATGATTAAATTTAAGACCTTCTTTTTCCTCTGAGTTTATCAATTCCTCAGTTGCCAACACATGTACAGGTAACTGCCTCTCAGTTCTTCATTTTGGTACTAGCAGAGGACTAAAAATAATGCTTCTAATTAAGAGATGATTTTACTCAGATCTGGTTGTGAAACCACTTGTTTTCCACGCTCATAAATTTCAGCTAATGTGATTTCTTAATAATTGGAAACTGGTTATACAGTAGCAGCAAACAGGGCAGAGATCTAGCCATCGAGACTGCTCCAGAAGAAAGCATGACCAAGATCTGGAATCAATGACAGAAAACATTAGGCCTTGACATGTATTTGAAGGTCTTCTTGTAGGCAAGTAGCTAAAAAGTTGGGCTGAAACAGGAGGGCTGTCGTTTGGGGTTTTTTGTTTTGTTTGGGTTTTTTGTAGTTGTTGTTTTGTACTTTAAAGAAACAGTTTTGTTTTCACTTGGGCAGTGTGAAATGACCTACTTGTAGCCCATGAGATCTTTCATTTGTGCTTCCCTCCTACATCTCTGCCAAAACACACTCTGTAGCATTGCAAGATTGGCCAAATGCTCTAGGGAACCACGTCCAACCACCAGCAGAAGCCTGACTGACTCTGTGGTGCTGCTGCTTTCCACTCTGTGTGTGTGTGTTGGTCTTCTGTATTGGGGAGGGAACAGACTAAGACTCACTGTATTAAGTTAAATTTTAAATCTTCTTTGAAACAATTGGTACTTGGTATTACACACTAGGAATATAAAGAAAGCATTCTTGGTCCATTATGAAGTTTGTTTTGCGTGTTCTGTAACACTGATGCATCCCAGGGGTTAAATGATGTATGTACAGAAAAGAGCAGTAAGACCACACAATCTCAATTACAATGCAAAAAGCTTCTGATAGTTTCATTAATTCAAACCCAATAATGTGCTTATTGGAGGAACCTGAAATAAAAACAGAAGGAAAAGTTTTTCAAATGGACTGTGACTTTCATTTTACCCTTGTGATCATAACACACAATGCAGCCAGGGATTTCTATAGCCCTCTGTGAACGACTCTGGAGTGGGCAGGAATACAATCCCATATTCCTAACACTAACTTATTTGAATCAAAAATTTATTTGCTTTGTAAATCATAACTTATTTTCATTTTTCAAACAAACCTTGAATCGACTTTATAATATTTTAAAATGTATCAAGCACCGAGACCTAAATTAACAGTAAGAAAACAAATAAGATCAGTAATTCTGAAGGAAAGCCATGTAAAGGACAAGATTTTTTTTTTTGCTTTTTTCACTATGAACTTGTTCTAGTGGAAAACAATTAACACACTGAATGCTGAACAGACATGGAAAGGTACCAGTGACTGCAGATGATACTCACCTGTAAACAATTCTCTCCCTCTGCAGATCCTCCAGGCCACAGCAGAGTTCTGCAGCATAGAAAATAGCCCTTTCCTCATCAAAGCCAGGATTTCCCATGTTATATATGTGAAACTTCAGGTCCCCTCCATTCATTATGGTCAACACTAAACACAGGGCATCTTTCGTTTCGTACGTGTAGGATAAACTAACCTAAAAACGGGGCAGGGCGAGAAGGTGACCATTAGTCATTCCTGAACCCCACACCATTCACAGCTCTCTTTTCCAGTACAATCAACATGTGAAACCCAACTAAGAGCAATGGAATTCAAACATATATTTAGCTTTCATTAGGTAAGCTAGCTGGGTAAAAATCAGTAGGATTTTTTTTTTTTTATACTCAATAAATGTATTTTTAAATGCTATACAAGTAAGTAATGGTCCTAATTCAGTAATAGGTCCAAACTCTTCCTTTGGATGCATAAATCAAATACTAATTAAGAAAATTAAATAAATACAGAAATTAGCTACTCGGGGCAAAGATTCCTATTTGGAGGTTTTAACTGATACATCCAGCTATTAATGGCTTTACTTGTGACACAGGCATGACAAATTATCTATCCACTCCCAAGCCAGTATTACTGCAGATCCAAGATCCAGATCTTCCTTGTTGCACCAAAAAACCCCATTGGACAGCAAGAGGAAAATAACTTGTGCTCAATTCTATAAAGTGATTTCAATTTAGACTTTGATCAATTACTGATTTACAGTATTTACATATGCTGAAAAAAAGTCACTCAAAAGTAGAAGTTTCACTGTTATAGTAATTTATGGATCAATTCAGGTCCTTTCTGGATTCAGTTTCAATCAATTCAAGCCCAGAAACCTCGTACAAAAATAACATTAGCATATTTATACAAAACAATAGTTTACAATAGTTTAAAATATTAATGTATCTGGCCAGCAGGTTCTTAATTTTCTTCTGTATTGTATTGTATGGGTTTTTTAAATATATAAAGCTTATCGGAAAATACATACATACATATTTTATACATATATATTTATAAATAACTTTCACTATCCTCTGAAACAGGTACTTCAAAATCCTCTCTGAACAGCAATACAAAATTTATCAGTAAATGGATTTAAAACCAAAGCAGAATGCATTTAAAATTAACATTTAGATGGCAACATTTCGATTAAAAAGTAAACATTACCTAGGGGAAATTTTAACTTTGCTCCTTCTAAGTTATTTCACTGCCTAGTAATTAGAGCTACTAAGAGACCTTAATTTACATAATAGCATCAGGTTAAAGTATTAAAACTAAGATTTTCATTCCATGGAAGTTCTATTAAAAAGTTAATTGTTTCACATCCAAGACACCTCTTTAAGCCTTAGTACACAGCAAAGCAATATAACCTGCATCAATATACAATTAAAATGTCATGTTTATCTTGGAATATATAAGCAATAGAGTAGCAAATGCTACAAAAATACCCAAGGATAAAAAACCTCAGCTATTAAACAGAGGACAAAGTTTCAGTGCCATCAGCATGCTGAAACACAGTGTTCTGGCTGTAAGTGAGAAGAAAAGCAGGGAGACTAAAACCAATTCAATATTGGATAAAAAAAGTCCTCTGCACAGAACTACCCACAATCACACACAAAACATGCCTATTATTGTATCAAGACTTTTCTCAACAGTCATGCAATCTGTAAATCAATTTAAAAATGAGTCTTGTGCCCACAAGTCCCTGGAAGAAACTGAATGAAGTAAACAAAGAGAGACAAGTTTCTGAAAATAAGATCAGAAGCAGATACTTACTACAAACCTACTATTCACTTTTTCTAGAATTCTTTTTTCATTCAGAGCCATTGATTCTCCTTTCCTCTTCTTTATTCTCTTTTTTTCTAGCTTTTTGCAAGCATACATTTTTCCTGTTGCCCGTACCTGACAGGCACACACCTGAAAAAGAAGGATGGTGTGTCAGAGATGCTAGGGGGGGTTTTTTGGAATTTTTATTTCAAAGAATTTTTAAATAATTTCATTTTCTTTTCAAACTCTTTCATACTCAGAAAATGATGGTCTGTAAGCATCAATACAGAGCTTTCACTCACTAAACAACTTTAAAGGGTCACAAAAGCTGTAACAGAAGTAGAAAAAGTGATTATACAGAGGCAAACCCATTTCTGTTGGGGTTGAATAGTTCAGTAAACTGTGGATCTTGTGTTAGTGAAACAAAACTACTGACTGTGGTAACTGTGTGTGTCTAGGCAAGCAGGATAGAGGACAAATATCCACATCACAATCAAACAGGTGAAAGGTAATGGTAATTTAGTAACCCTACTTCCCCTTCAATATAGGGTTCTGGTTAAAAGACATAGGGGGAAAAAAGTTCAATTAATTATAAACAGAATTAATGAAATGGATTTTATTTTAGGTTCATAAATATTCTACATAATTATTAAATAGAAACTAAATTTTCACTGGCAAATGAAATTTCTAAATAGAAGCAACAGTTGTCAGTCAGTGAAAGTTTTCTCCAACTTTGTGCACAACCCACAATTTTGAAACTAACACATTAAAAAACCCCACAATTTGGATTGACAATGGTTTGCCAGGTGATGTGTCAAATGTAGATTGATGGAGACAAGAGTTAAACAGCCTCTCATCTGCATTAACCATTTATTTTTTTTTCCTTAAGAACTGCCTCACAGAAGGATAGTTCTGTACTCACCTCTCCAAATCCACCTTTGCCGAGGACTCGGTAATGCCTAAATGTGTGTTTGGTTACTGGTTGCCTGATTAACAGAAAGAAACAATTACTGCAACAGAAGTCACAAACGTCAGTAACCCCCTCCCCACCCCGAGGTCTGCCTTGATTTTCTCCTTTCTGTTCTCTGACACATTTCTGAGCAAATGTTGCCTTGGCCTCATGAAGACAGCCCTGTAATAAGCTGAATTTCAAAGGAAAGGGGTGCTCTGTTTAGAAACGTGGGCTCCCTCATGTGGTCACCAGACACTGCCAACAGCAGGAAGAAGAGCTGGTCAGTTTGGTCCTTTGTGTTTACAGTTAGAGCTTTTTTATGTGTTCTCACCACAGGCAGTCCCTCATGTGCTGCTGCTCCCTCAGCTGCAGTCCCTGACACGCACTGCAATCACATCATGCTTATAATGCAACATTTAAAAGGGAAGCCATTTCTCATTTCACTTTGCTTTTCCAAAAAAGAAAGAGTTGTGGTATGCAAGAGCAGTTAGAGAGCTGAATTGTGAAGGTGTTGATACAGAGGAACAGTCTGGAAGCAGTAGAGCTGTTAACCATTCTATGCTAAAACTCTCCCAGACGTGTCAGAGCAGGGCTAATTCATCGTAGTGGGTTTTTCTGTGTCCTGTTTTAAAGGAGTATTCATTGTTAATGCAGGTTTTTTCTCGGGACAACAAATGGAAGTTCACTTAGTAGAGAATTTTAAGAACTTCCCTAGTTCTCTTCCTGGCTTTTGCTACTGATTCAGTGAAATAAAGACATTGGATAATTGGAATTTATGACAAAAATAATGCTCAAGCACCTTGATGTTCGAATATGTGATCACATTACCCAACAGGGCTGAATTGGAATCAGTTTGTAACAATCTCAGCCTTCTGAGAGAGTCTCACACTCATTTAGTATTGCTTTATAAGCCCAAACTAGACTCTAAAATATATATAAATCTTACCATCTTGTAATTACTAGATCTCTATCTCTACCCCTCTAAAAAACTGATTAGTTTCCCAAGCATCCAGTGGGTTATAAAATTAGATTAATCTGCTTATTAACCACCAATTAAACGAGGTTTGAAACTAAAGGATGGGAGCATTCCCAAGAAAGACTGGTATTCCACTGCACACTTGACAGCCAAACATATATCTAAATGATAATGAATTTCCATTTACCCAATACAAATTTACCACTTAAAGACTACCAGACAGACAGTTCCATTGGAGTATTGGTTCTCTTGCTGTCCCATCAACATCATCCTTCACATCTTGTCTTCCAGCTCATAATTTCTTAGACAGGCAGAGTCATTCATTAGAGCTTTACAGCATTTCCAGCACAACAAGCAGAATTTGGCACAAAGCAAAACTAAATTATAACGCAAACATTATAAATAAACTTACTTTTCCAGCCATTTCCACTGTAAGAAACGGGAAAAATACACACTTTCTTGGTAAGCTTCAAAAGGTCTTTTGCTTAGGTATTCATGGACAATTCTAGCAGGAAAACAAACAGAAAAATAAATAAAATGAAACAGGAGGTGCTATCAATCTACCAACATATATTCAAACCCACCTAAATATCATTCTCTCAGCAGCTATTTTACGCATGAATGACCTCACAAATATGACCTCTGAAAGCATCTACAAGGTTTCACACATTCTTTGGAGACCGGTAAATAACATTTTATTCTAGGATTTGAAATGGAAGTACTAAATGCCATACTCAAACCTGAACACCAGGCACCTCATCGTTCCTATAAAGGTATTTACCACAGAGAGGAAAGGGGACGACCCACATGAGATACTCCATCTGAGACACGTTTTACTAGGTCTTCTCACACATCCCTTTCAATCTTTTCATCTCAGATTGTTATAAACATGCTTATTTTTGTTGCCAGGGAGATGACCCAAGCAGTGACAAAACATGTAGCAATCCCTCGGACATGATCAAGCATGCCTTGAAGAACCAGAAATATGAGAAACACAAAGGCTTCAAAAGCCATGTAACACTCATAAACATGGACCAGCCCTCCAGGAAAAGCCTCCCCTGCTACTACTGGGTGAAATCCCACTCCAGGACCTCAGAACAAAACCAAGCTGTGTTCTTTAGTGTTAACTCTCACAAGAGATCCTCCAGTCAGCCATCTCAGGGGAAATAACTGTGGGCCTCAGCTCAGCCTGTTCTCAAGAACCTTAAACTGTGTAACACGGTTTTCAGAAACCTTTCGAGTTCCAGTTTATAACTTCACATTTTAATGAGTATCTTCATCATGGAGAGAAGTCACTCAAAAGGTGAGAGTAGAATAAGCACTATTTAACTTACCAGAATACCTGGTAGCAGACAACAGTGTGATTTTATGCAAAAATACCATTAAAGGAAAAGCTCTGCAGAAGTCAAACATCTAAATCACATCTGAAGGAAAACTAGCCCTCTCTCTTCCAAATTTCTTACCTACGCTCATTTTGGAGATCAAATACTTCTGAGTGTAACAACTTCACCTTTCATTTTTCTGGGAAGCACACAAATTTCTCTTGTGATACTCAAACTCAGCATTAGGCATTTTTAACTTACCTAGTACAGTCCATAAAAAGATCCTTGGAAGGGTTCTTTTCCAGTCTTGCTTTACATTCATTTACTGTTTCCTGAGGTATTTCTGGCAAGTGTGCTGCAGACTTAACATAATAAAAAAGAAAAAAAAAAAAGCAACGATTAGAGCAATTTTCTAAATCAATAGAAAAAGTTTGGTCTTCCAAGTGAAATTAAATCTTGCAATACAGGAAAAGGAAAGGAATGGTTTGGCTAAAGAGAAAAATCAAGGAAGTCATATTTGAGCAAAATTTTTATTTATTCCCTATTACAGAAAAATGTATTGAAGGCTATTTCAGTTATTTACTGTTTCAGTATCTGGGGAAACAAACTTGGCAATAAGTCAAATTTCTTTTTCTTTCCATAAGTCTACCACCACAAAAACAAGTTATCTATTTCCCTTGGCAGGATGGAAAAAAGGAGAAAGAAACATAAACACAAGTTGGGAAACTATTTCAAACCAGACCAAAGAAATCTGGGGGGAGAACTGGGGGGATGATTTGCAAAAAACTGCATGTGACTTATGGTACTACCAAAAAAATTCTCAGCAGAGATGTAGCAAATTTAGATTTTTATCTGCTTTTGAGGCATCTTCAAGACCTTCTTTTGTATAAGATGACCAGAGAAGCAGAGGGAGCATCTATTCATAGAAAGCAAACATCTAATTATATACCCACAGAAAAGCTTCAGCTGGATACCAAAAAAGAGACTCTTGATAAATGCACAAAATCAGCTACTAATGATCACCACTGAAAATAAAAAACCAGAATGCTCCAGAAGAAAAGGGCATTTCACTTCACAAAAACCTGCAGCAATTCTGCAAATTTACAGCAAAGCAACAAAGTCTGAAAGAAACCCAAGAATTTCTCATCCTTAGACCACAAAATTCTGAGTTAATTTGTTATTAAGTTTTCTTTAGGTGTTAAATGGAGAATAAATTGTAGTCATAGCAGTCTTAAAAGCAGAGATCAGTCAAGTTTTCTGCTCAACTTGGTTGGGCAGAAGTTCGGAGCACACCTCTCAGAAAGACAAAAATGGGACTAATGAAGTTTGAAAGTCAATTTACTATAAAAAATAATGCAACCACTTGAATCTATTTCTCTGACACTTTTCAAAACGCTCGAGAAAATACTTTGCAGTATAACATATTTACCCCGTTAGTGAAGTACGTCTCCAAAACTTTGAGGCCACAGTCTATACGCTTTTCATCTGAAGATACCTCATACTCTGCCTAGGGCAATGGAATTGAAAATTAAATTATGTCCAGAGCTATTTGTCTTTTTACATGATGCTAGGTAAATTTTATCACCAATAACACAATACTCTTGATATAAAAGTGAAACATGTACGAAGAACAGTCTCAAGGAAAAAGAAAAGCACATGGAATTTAACCTTTGGAAAACATACAAGACCTAACAATTAGTCTAAATGCAATTATGGAAACTGCATCCTAGAGGTTAAATTAGATCACTTATAATGAAATGGCATTTATGTAGTATTGTAGGACACAATGATCCAGATGGAAAACAATAAGAGCACAATTATCAGCTTTTTCTTCACTGTACTTGGTTTCCTTCGCGTATTTTTCTTAGTTACAGTCTTGATTAAAACCACGATAAAACTACTTTCTACAAGGTTATGTTAACTGGAAATAAGTGACATCTAAACCAAACCCCACTTCACTCTTTGAAAACCTGAGTAGATACAAAATTTGTCAGTTTTTGACTTAGTAATATCCGATTCTGAGATGTAGAAAAAGGGCCTTGTGCAGTACAGTGCATTTTGCAGATACACAACTGGCAGCTGAACAGAGGTAGCTACTTATGGGAAAAAAAACACAACCAACAAACCATCACACAGTTACTACAACCGAAAAACTCCAAGGACTACTCACTATTCATAATTTTAAGGAATAATCTAGAGGCAAACATCAGAAGTTACAACATTTAAAGACAACACAAAATCTGGGGAAAGATGAGTTAGAAAAGAGCAATCTCAAACAGCAACCTGTATTAGGTTCACAAGCTGAGCCAACTTAATCAAAGCTTATTTCATATTTCAGAATGTAGATGCATGTACCTAGGAACAAGGAATATATGGCAGACTTCCAGAATGGAGGACTGTATCATACAAAACAGGTGGGCATATCAGGACAACAACCATTAGCCACCTCACAGGAAGTTCCAAGTGAATTGATCTAATCAGAAGTTATTTACCTTTATAAAGAAAACTAGAACACTGAAAAATGACAGTTCAAGAACCACACACACACAATGCTGGAAATAACAGAATCCCTGATCTCCAGTTCTGCAATTAATCACAACTAACCCACACTGACTCACTACTAAGTCATCATCTTTTTCTGCTGAGACATTATGGTGTCACCCACTTCAGCACAGAACTCAAATCCATTAACAACTGCAAGCCACTGTTTTTGCTACTTCCATTCCACTACAAAAACTCTAATGGTAAGGAATTCTGCAACTACCAAACAACCTGAGCAGGTCAGAGAAGTTCATTAACCAAAAGTTCAGCAGTGCACTTAGCACCTTCAACATTTTCAGTTATGCAGAAGAGGTCACTAATGCAATACAAACAGTCGGGCATACTGGTTTGAGTGGATCCTGTAATTTTAAAGTAAAGTTTGAGAGATGGCCTTTCCAATTAATCCTGTTACTCACAGAGCTGAAGAGGGAAGTTTGAGCTGTCACCCATTATTCCTTTGCGTACATAAGTAACCCAGCTAGTGAAATGAGTCACTAGACTGGATAATTGTAATTCCTCACTTTAATTTCTTTCACTCATGTTCCATTATTTCACAACTCTTCTTTCTGTAAAGCCAAGCTGACTCCAGACTTTAGGGTCACACCTTCTCAAGAGTTGGAGCTTACCAGTCTTAGCAATCAGTACAGGCAGACAACACAGTGTTTTACTACCTTGATTTTGGACTCCTGAAATAATCACATTGCTTCATGTAAGAGTCAGAAAGCCTTATTAATTAAGATGCAAGGAGGATACTGTATTTTGGAATGCAGTGATTCCCAAGCATAATGCTTCACCGTGATTTTTCAAATGGAAGATAAACAATACATTTTTAAAAAGAAAAGCAAATTGTGAAATCATCCCTTACATCAGATTATCTCAGTTATGAGAGTCTTTGTTAAACCACAGAAGAAGTGCTGTAATCTACATAACACTACAGGTTGCATGTTTCAAAAGAATTCAACTTTTTCAGTTAATGTGAAACAGTTACTTCTTAGAGACAATTTCACCTGAAAACTGGCATCTGTAGAGCAAAGACATACCTGCCTTACAGCCACACCTAAGGTTTGTTCTCTTTCGTGCTGCCAAAGATTCTGCTGCTCCTTAACTAAGCTCTTAAGGATTAAAAACGTGTACAGAAGTTGTAAGCATTTTGGTATATCCAGGGTTGTCAGCAGTCTCCCCACTGTGCTCTGGCTTACATTCACCTCAGGATGTGAGCTCTGCTGTTCTGGATTTCCATTCAATCCATCCTATGTGTCCAACTGTCAAACTGGTCTCTGGAATTTGGTGCTAGAACAGTCCCCAAGAGTCAAAAAAATACGGTGAAATGTGTCTGGGGAGGAAGCCTAACTCCATAAAGATTCACTGACAAATATAAAGCAATTGTACTTATTTGACACTCAGTTTATACTCCCACAAGGGGAAGATCCAGTGAAGAGGGAGGCACAGCAACAATCCCATGTAGTTCCTTACACCTTGCCCCTTTCAGAGCCATCTTGCATTTGGATACTGTGTTTTGGGGATGCAGGTAAGCGGCAGCACCACCCCACTTCTGTATTCTTTGGTCATTTGTTCCCTGAATTAAGAGCAAAATGGGGTGGAATAGAAAAAAGCCGTTCTTTTGGCAGCAATCTCAGTTTAAGACTATATCTCACTGCTCTTGGATTAACTATAAGGGACAAAGAATAAAAAGCCCTGAGCTATTATTCTCTCCTCTTGAGGGCTGCTGTGTGCCTGCCTAATCTTCTCATTACTTTCCCCCTCCCGAAGAGGGTTTTGTCTGAGGATTTTTTACCAAAATGGTTGTGGGCACACTTCCTTCCTCCCCTCCTTCTTCAGCATTAGATACCACGATGCAAATGTATTAAGACTTTTTTCCTTGGTCTCAGAAAATCTGGTTTTTTCTCCTTCCATAGATGGTTGCCTGAATTTCCATCTCCATTGTATTGTTTTTAATTAGCACATGCTGTCTAGCCTAGGGCTTCCATGCAAGTTGCAACATTTTCAAGTCTATGTTTATAAGATTTTCAAGTCTGAGTATAGTAATAATCATCCTACAGACACCCTTTCAGGCTTAAGAAGTTAAACAGCCTGTCTTCCTGCAATTCCTTCTCTCCTTCCCATCATGCCCATTTTTGTAGCTCTGACCATACCAAGACGGCAGAGATTTTAAAGTAAATATTAAACATCTTCCTTTAAGTGACAGAGACAGTTTTTTGACATACATCAGAAGTTACAGCTTTACAGTTGGCACAGGGCAGATGACACCATATTTTCCTGGATGCAGCATTAAGGGAACACATGTATAGAGAAAACTAATAAATTGTAAGCTAAGAGACAGTTAAGCCCCACACAGCCTCTCACTCACTTCCCCCCACTGATAATCAGAAGGGCAGAAGTGAGAATCCCTGTGGCTTAAATTGAAGACAGTTTGATAAAGCAAAGCTGCACGTACAAGCAAAGCAGAGTAAGAAATAAACTAATTTCTTCCCTTTGGCAGGGAGACATTTAGCCATTTCCAGGAAAGGAGGGCTTCATCATCATCATCATCATCATCCTAACAGCTAGCTGGCATGACAAACACCAAATTCTAACTCCCTCCCTTCCTCTTTCTTTCCCCAGCTTTTGTTGCTGAGCACAGCACCATATGGAGTGGGATATCCCTTGGGGTCAGCTGTCCTGGTTGTGTCCACTCCCAACTTCTCGTGCACCCCCAGCCCACTCACTTCTGGGGCAGCAGACATCGTGTAATTACTGTTCAGCAAGAACTAAAACATTATAGTTATCAACACTGTTTTGGTCAAAAATCCAAAACATAGCACAGCATGAGCTACAATGAAGACAATTAACCTATTCCAGCCAAAGACAGCACAAAAATCAAATGTTTACACACAATGTAGCAGCAATTGCCTATTGGTAACCATCTTCAGTTTCTCAGTCCTTACCACTGCATCCAGAAATTCGATGCATCTTTTCAGATCTGGTCTGGAATCACAGAACTGCCTGAAGAGAAGTCTTCCTATAGGCTGTTTGTCACAAAGCTGGCTATAGTCTCTTTCTGGGAAAGAAACAGTAAGTAAATATCTTCATTTGTATTTATTTTTGTAATATCACAGTCATTAATCCCATTTGAGGTCAGAACAACATCACTGAAACGTGAAGATTTCACATTACCATATTTAGCAAAGATACCATACATATGCAATGATCCCAAAGAATAGTGAAACACTCTTCAGTCACATCTGTCTCATAGACTGTCACATTTACTAAGAACACGTTGAATTATATGTTTGAGTTTCATTTAGGTTAGGGTGCAGAAAGAAACAATATTGTGAAATATACAACCACCTCATTCAATTTATAACATGATGCCTTTTTCTAATTCATGGTTTTGTAAGTCTACCCTTTAGGAACAGTTTCCTTTAACAAACAAGGAGCTGTGATAGAGCTTTTACCTTCTCATAAATTTATTTTCTCATAAATTCTCCATCATATTAAAAGTTTAATAGCTTTTTTTTTCAATTAGCACTGGGAAGCAAGACAGAATCCTTTCCATTAACACCACCAAACTGTTACCCTTCCCTCTCAAAAAGACAGCCAGACCATTTAGTTCTATGGGACACTTACCAATTGAGGATCTGATACCTTCACAGTGACTAACAGGTGGCAACTTCAGCATTTCTTTCCATTTTTTACTACGCCCACTCCGTTTGCCTGGAAGAAAAACATGAGTAATGTAAAAAATGATACTATGTCAGAATAAAATTAAACACAACGTTAACAGCATATAACTAGGTCTGTTCTGCACAGATGTGTCAGACTGCCTTTCATGCCTAGAAAGAAATCCATCCATAAGGATATCCAAACCAAAAACAAACTTAATATGGAAGAACTTCCACGTGAAACACTAAAAAATGCAGGATGTCTTTTGCAAGACAAGTATTTCCCATTTTGGCTGTGCATGCAGAGTATCTCTGCAGAGACAAGGCAAACACCCAGGTATTCTGAAAGTTACAAACAAAACTGAAACACCAAAGACGGAAACAAAAAAAAATCTGAGAATCATCTCTCAACGATGGTAAAGAACGGAAGACGTTAAAGTTGAGTAACAAAATACCACAAATGAAGTTCTTGGATAATCAAGTTGTACATAAATATTCTCTTTCTTTTTCTAAGGGCAGTAATATTTGTAAGAGAACAACTACATAGCTCAAATACACACCATTTATTCTAGGCCACAGTAGGATACAGGATATCAGGAAGCACTTAGCTGTTGTGGAACTCAGATATTTTCAGTGTTTCAGATATCACAGCACTAGTATTGAATGGATTTTTGAAAAACACTACAGTATTTTTCCTACTGTTTCTCAAAAAATAGAGCTGGGCTACATCTTCTCTATTACATTGGACTTTTAGCACATTATCTTCTTCAGGTCAAGGTAGTCTCATTTGCAGAAGGTACTCAGCAAAAAAGCAGAGTTAGACACAGAAACATATATATATATATGAATTTTTTTTTTTTGCAAATGCAAAACATTTCAGTAGAAGAGCCATTTTTTGCTGCGAAACATTTCAGAAGAAGATTTTGCTAAGTGATATGACCAGATGCATTTCCATGTGACAAATCTGCACAGAAACTTTCTAAGTGCACCAAAGCAGTACATACTGTTAACCACAATGGGAGAGAAAGGAAGGGAGTTACCCCATGTAACCCGAAGAGAAACCAAGCTGCAAAGAGGACTCAGCTCTTTCAGAATTAAATGGTTAGGGAGAAAGGAACTAACACCTTCAGAATAATAAAATAAGTATTTTAAAAAAGCCCCCCTTCACTCAAACATACAGCTTCTTGAACAGTTCCACCAGTGCAGTTAGAGCAGTCCCAGCTTAGTGGACCTTGGCTCATACCAAATTTACATGATCCTTGCTACCAGAAACATTGACATCTCACTGTGCTGCTGCAACAAAACATTCTCAACTGGAGTATCCCTAGGAAAGTAAACAAACAAGGAATAAAAAATCCTATAAACGTTGCCTTGCACACATTACTGCAAACTTACTGCACTAAGTGTCAGACAACTGACATTTCCTCTGTAAAAAAAAAAAACCCTTCTGCACTTCATTTACTGATACCACTTTGCAGGTCATTCGCCTTCCAAAATGTTTTAGAACACAAACATATGGAATCTACTTCCCATCCCATACTTCGTGCAGTACCAGAATTAATAATGAAGTTGTAATTACCAGCACCATTAAAACAAACTCCAGTTACTCGAACAAAATATTTTTGATCTTAAGAAGAAGTTGAATATATGTGTGAAGAAAATCAAATCACTCAGAGCAAAGAGCCTTTCCAAGAGAACTGAACACAACCAAAATCAAGGAGTATTGACACAGGCAGACTGTACACAGACACTGAATAACAAGGCCTGAGTATAGATTATTATGTGATCATGAAAAACAATGGTCAGAAGTGTCAGTTTTAGCCATGTAACCAAAAAATATAACTTCTGTGGACCTTCTGTGTATTTTTTCTGTTAGAAAGTGCCCAGAAAGACTAATCTGTGCATGACACTGTACAATCAACACTGACCAAGAATGATAAACTGACCCAAATTCATACCACAGTGCAGTTTGGAAGAAGTAAAACTGAACTGTTATGTACACCAAGTATACCATCTTCTGAAGCACAAAGAGAAACACCAAAACCACCCCAACTCTCAAAAAAAAAGAGTATAACTGGTGCATTGTACTTCAAGTACAACACAAGAAAGTGCTGGACTGGTTTTCTTTTTGCCCCAAATATTTGGCCAGTTACTTATGATGTGACCACTCTAAACTTCATTTTACAAAGAGAGACCACGTACTAGAATGCAACTGAATTCTCATCCTATGGAAGTACATAAAGACTACATATAATTTATTAATAACACAAAAGAATTGAGTGCTTAGGAATATCAACCACATCAACATGATCTCTTTCCTCTGAACTGAATGTTCTTGTATTTACAGCAAATGCACTGTAAAAGTCTGTAGGTCCCAGTAATGTAAAGAGCCATTTCTGGTAAAAGTTATGGCAGGAGGCCAATTTGTTTGTCATATTGCTCCCTAATTGCAAAATCCTTTTCCATTTCTGAAGCAGTTCAAAAGAAGAATCAAATCAAATTGTAACAGTTGTGGTTTGAAAGTGTCTTAATATTGATTTCAGAGCTTCTATTCTGGATCTCATTCTAAAATACTTAAGATAAAATTCTCCCAGAAAGACCAACAGCTTACTTTCCAACAGAGCAGCAAAGCCATTAGGTTAATCTGCTTTATGGTTGACCTCTGTGGCTCAGCTGAATTACTGCTTTGCCTCTTGCAGATGTAATTGCTGCCTAAGAACAATGTCCAACTTGAAGCGACTCATCTTGTACAAAGAGAAGGGTGGATGCAGCGACACACCATTACAGTGAGGAGAGACCACAATTACATCTGCAGGAACATGAGAACCTTACCTCTTCTTCTCCTCCCCAAATCATTTCTTAGAGCTACCGTTTCAACATCTGCCTCTTTAGAGGTTTTCACTTCTTAAAATGATACATACTAAACTCAGTTAGGTCATTGCACTATAATAGGGTATGGGAAAGATGTTTAGATGTTTTAATTTCTCAACTTTTTTTTTTTCTTTAACTTCAGAGAAATATTTGAAACATGTATGTAAGGCAAAGTGGTTGGCTTATTCACCAGTAAAACCACAACTAGTTGCAAAAAAAAAAAAAAAAAAAAAGAAACTGCTGTGGTAAAACAAAGCAATCTATGTAGAGAAATAAGAATACATTTTAAGTCATCAGATGGACTTCCCACAGCCACAGTGATCTTTCTTATAGACAGGATTTGCAGACTGACTCTTTCACTGAGCACATTGTTCACTGAACATCACTAAGTCATTCTTCCTTGAGACAGAAAATGTGGATTCTGTCAAACAGAATGAAAATGGTGAGAAGTACTGTACTGTCTTTGGCTAATAAATATACACAGACCGTATGTGGGCACATTCAGGGGCTGTTTGGGGACCTCTGTGCCTCAGCTCTCCTGCCTGTGCAGGGCAAGCACCGTGTGTGGCTGAGCAGCCCAGAGCCCCACAGCACTGGGGTGCACGATTGCTACAACTTCATTCTTGCAAAACTGATTCCACAAACCAGACCGTCAGATACCAGCTGAGAAATTCATACTAGACCACACCCAGATAAGCTCTGAAAGCACAAAACTGCAACAAGATGACACCCTACAGCACGCCTGTAGCTGTATAAATCAAATCAATGGGCTCAACGAAAAGATGCGAAGCAATTGATACAGAAGCTCTACATCACCTACACTGAGATGCATGAAAATAACCCAGGCACAGGCAGTGCTTTACAATTCATCTTTCCCACAGCAGAGACAGTTTTAGACATGTTTCCTGACAGATTTAAAGCTCATATGAATTCAAATCTTCTCCTACTTACACAGTTTCCTTCAAACGATTCACAATAAGGATTAAAACCTTTCACTAAAAAAAACCAAACACTGGAGTAGCACTGAGTTCAGGCTGGAAGACAAGTTCACACACACCACCACTTGAGGAAGGTTGTTGTGCTTGCAGTTCTAGAGACAACTCATACGGTACTGCTTTGGGGGTCACTGCAACCTTCTCAACCTTCTCCATTCTGCAGGTCTGATGTATTTTTCGACATTTCTGTTCCTTCAAAAACAAGCCTGGCCACAGCTTAACAACCAGGTTAAACAGAGTGGCAACTCTTGTCTATGGAGAAAGATTTTTTTCCCCAGACAGATGAGACATATGATCTGGCTGGTTCTCAGTAAATTCACAAGATCACCTGGCTGAAAATCCAGGTTTCAGCACAAGGTAGGCACCGAACTCGTCAGCATTTCAAAGGCCAAGGCACTTCTGAACGCAAACAGAAGCAAAAACGCAAACAGTACAGTAAATAAACACATCAAAGACACCTCCAGGTTACCGGCTGTTATGGCCTTCATAAGATAATATCCCTCACACTCCTGGATTCAAGTGCAGTTGGACTTCAGCAAGGCAATGCTGGAGTCCTCTCGTTATCTGCCCGTCAGCGCAGTGACACGGGGAGCAGCTCAAGCCCAGCTCTCGCCGTGAACATTTGTGCAGCTTGTTTATGTGCACAATCCCTTATTGTTCCCACAGCTATAACCACTCGAACAACTGGTTCTTCACATCGGCTCTCCACACAACTCCAGGGATCATGTGCACATGGAGGAATGCTGGTGCACACACACACTGGCCAGCTCCTGCGCTTCCAGCAGCTAGGTACGGAATGGGAGTTCCGCAGCAACTTCAGTAAATGTAACTCCTCTGAACCAAAACTTGTAAACCTAATCTTGCAACCAAACAATGTAACATCTGTGTATACATTGCATTTTGAAGTGGCTATAACAAATTAATGAACAGGATTTACTAGAGGGAAAAAAATGGTAAGAAAACTCTGATTTTACAGACAACTCCTGACAAACAAGGCTTTTTCTTGTCATGACAGGACATCAACACTGCAACAGATATTAAAGAAGTAAAATTTCTTTAAGTAGATTGTGAAACCCCTACTATAATTGCCACATTTGACATAACCAAAGCAGCAGTGTGTATCAATAACTAGACCTCTCATGTCGTGTTTATTTAGTAAATGTAATTATTTAAGATTCCAACATGC